TACTTTTTCCCGAGGAATGCGTCCATAACATTACTCCCCTCCTGGACTAAGAGCTTGTCCTCAAGCTCGAACTCCRGATACRTGGCTTGGAACTCTGCCAATGGAATCCAGGTGGCTTCGGCCGATGGTAAGCTACCCCATTCCACCAAGACTTCAAGAATTCCTCGATTGAAACGAAAGCGGGTGAGAGCCTTAGGCTGGGGAACAAGTTTGCCATCTTTCAAGGGCGGCAGGGAGGGGATTTGGTCCGGAGGATCACCCATAAATGGTTTCAGCAAGGAGATGTGAAAAACATCATGAATCCGGCTGTTCTCCGACAATTCCAACTGGTAGGCCACACTGCCAATCCGCCGTAGAACCTTGAAGGGCCCATAGAACTTAGGGGCCAGTTTCGGGGCAGCCCTGTGGCACAAGGAGCGTTGCCGGTAGGGCTGGAGTTTTAACCAAACAAATTGTCCTGGTTCGAACGACAGTTCCCGGTGGTGCTTGTCATAATTGAGCTTCATTCGGAGCTGGGCCTGTTGTAAGCGAAGGTGGACGTCGGCTAGGAGGGCGTCGCGTTCTTGTAAGGAGTGATCAATTTCTTCCAAACGAGTAGAACCGGGCTCATAGGACAGCAAGCGAGGAGGGTATCGACCATAAACGACGCGAAAGGGAGTCATGCCGAGGGAAGAATGGTAGGCCGTGTTGTAATAGTACTCGGCCCAAGGAAGCCAATCCACCCACCGTCGCGGTTGATCCCCTACGAAGCAACGGAGATACATCTCGATTGTGCGGTTGACCACTTCCGTCTGACCGTCGGTCTGTGGATGATAAGCTGAGGAGAAGGCCAGGGTGGTGCCGTGCAGTCTGAATAACTCTTTCCAGAAGGCACTAGTGAAAACCGGATCCCTATCGCTGACGATGGATTCTGGTAACCCATGTAAGCGGAAAACATGTGTAAAGAAGGCGAGGGCAACTGAAGTGGCACTGTACGGATGTGATGGAGGGACGAAGTGGGCATACTTATAGAAGCGATCTACTACCACGAAGAGGACTGATTTGCCACCTACCTTGGGTAGTCCCTCAATGAAGTCCATGGAAATGTCGGCCCAGATCTGTGTCGGGATCGAAAGGGGCTGAAGGAGGCCTGCCGGGTGTAGGTTTTCCCATTTATGCTGTTGACACGTGGAGCAATTATGGACAAAATCCCGAATAGAAGTCTTCATACCCCGCCAATGGAAATCAGCTCGGACGCGGTGTAGTGTCTTCTGAACGCCTTCATGGGTGGAGTTATGGACACCGGTGATGATGGTGGAAATCAACGGGGAGTCAGGCGGAAGATGTACCCGGCCTTTATATAGTACCAACCCGTCGTGAAGTGACCAATTGGAGTTGGCAGTGCCGGACTGGATCTTCTGGACCAGGAGCGACCATTCCGGAGACTGTGGCGTTGCCTTCTTAATGTCGTCTAACAGGGAGATCCGGGGTTGGGAAATTGCATACAGAGCCATCGCGTCTTCATCTCGCCTAGACAAGGCATCAGTTGCGCGATTTGACGAACCCGCCTTGTATTCCACCTGGAAATCGAACCCGAGCAGCTTGATAACCCAATGCTGCTAAGGGGAAGTGGTGAGGCGTTGCTCCAACAGGTATTTGAGGCTGTAATGATCAGTTTTGACGACGAACGACAGCCCCCACAAATACGGCCTCCAGTGCTGGACGGCTCGGGCTAGGCCGATTAGTTCGCGCTCATAGGCTGGAAGTTTCAGGTGCCGATCGGCCAGTCTGTGGCTGAAGAAAGCAATCGGGTGCCCTTGCTGCTGTAACACGGCCCCGATACCCATTCTAGAGGCATTGCACTCGACTGTAAATTCGAGAGCGAAATTTGGTAATTGCAGGACTGGGGTGGAAGATAGGGCATTTCTCAGTGTTAGAAAAGCTACATCGGCTGCGTCGTCCCACTGGAAGGAATTCTTCTTTAACAGGTTGGTTAACGGGGCAGCCAACAGTCCATAATTTTGTACAAATTTGCGGTAGTAACCCGTTAATCCGAGGAACCCGCATAAGGCCTTGGCTGATTGAGGCTTGGGCCAGTCCTTGATAGCCTGAATTTTGGAACCATCAAACGTCACACCCTGCCCGTGGATGACATGGCCGAGATAAAGAACCTGTCGCTCCCCGAAGGAGCTCAAAAACTGTCCGCAGATGGTGCACATGCTCTACCAATGATTTGCTATAAACGAGGATGTCATCAAGGAATACTAAAACAAATTTGCGCAGATGGGGCTGAAATACCTCGTTCATCAATGATTGGAATGTGGATGGGGCGTTGGAGAGACCGAATGGCATGACTAAAAATTCGAAGTGGCCATGGTGGGTTCGAAAGGCAGTCTTTTTCACGTCACTGGGAGCCATGCGAACCTGAAAGTATCCAGACCTGAGGTCCAACTTAGAGAAGTACTGAGCACCATGTAGCTCGTCTAGCAATTTGTCCACAACGGGAATAGGGAACTTATCCTTGATCGTCCGGCCGTTGAGTTCTCTGTAGTCAACACAGAACCTCCAAGTTCCATCCTGCTTCGCCACCAACAGAACCGACGAAGAGAAAGGAGAGTGACTCTTGCGTATGATCCCTTGTTTCAGCATCTCTGTACATTGCTTTTCTATCTCGTCCTTCTATAGGTGAGGGTAGCGATAAGGCTGGACAATGACTAGTTCTGAACCCGCCACCAAAGGAATTCGATGGTCGCATGCTCGGGGAGGAGGGAGCCCCTTGGGTTCCTGGAATATATCTAAAAACTCGGTGAGAAGTCTTTCCATGGTCGCCGGTTCTGTCTGAAGTGCATGGACCTGTGGTGTCCTCTCTTTAATCCTGCAACCGTGCCATGAAACTTGCTTCCCATTTAGGTGGAATGTCATTGTGAGTGCACTGAAGTCCTATAAAATCGGGCCTAGGGTAATTAACCATTTGACCCCAAGAACAACATCGAACCCATCCAAGGAGAGTACAAATAAATCAGCAAAAAATAGTTCAGAATTGACCTAGCAGGATGCTCTTACAGATTCCCGGACTGTGAACTCTTTCACTGTTCGCGATGGCTACCTGCAGTCGTGGCCGGAGTTCCATTGGTAGTTTTAACTGAAGGGCGGCATGTTCACTTATGAAGTTGTGTGTGCTCCCTGAATCGACAAGAATGCGCACCGGTTGACCTGCTATCTGTGCTTGTAACTGCATGGTCTGAGAGGTTTTAATACCGGTGATCGCATGGAGGGAGATCTTCGGCTCGAATATGACGGGCTCTTCTTCCTCCTCCTCTTGCTCATCAACTAGGAGGCAAAAAAGCCTCTTGCACCTATGTCCTGCCGAGTAGAGGTCATCGCAGTTGAAACATTGGCCTCTCTCTCGGCGTTCTGCCATTTCTGTCCTAGTCAACCGCTTAATGGGTGGAGCGGCCATGTTGCTACCTGCACTTGTCACCGATCTAGAGGTAGCGGTTGTGTGAGATCTCAGTTCCCGGCTGGCTGCTGGAGAGGGGGTCGCTGTCGCTGATTTTGGAGGTGCCCATGAGTTCGGTGGACGACCCACATTGTAGGTCCCGCGGCTGAGCTGCAGCTTGCGCTCGAACGCCCGGGCTAAGTTCATGGCTGTAACCAAATTTGGGGGATTCTGCATTTCGACATCCACCCGCAGGGGTTCTACTAACCCTGCTGTGAACATGTCCACCTGCTGGTCCGATCGCACGGAGGATGCCCTCGCGAGGAGGGTTTGGAACTGGCGCTGGTATTCTGCCACCGTTCCGGCCTGTTTAAGGTTAATCAGCTCACCTAGGGGGTTGCTGGTCAGTGGGGGTCCGAACCGAAGGAGGCAATAGGACTTAAACTGGGGCCAACCGAGCCCGGGTTCTTGCTCTAACTGATAGTACCAAAATTGTGCTTCCTCTGTTAAATGAAAGGCGGCGAGACTTACCTTATCCCGGTCATCTGTCCACTGATTCCGAAAAAACTGCTCGCATCGGTACAGCCAGCCCAAGGGGTCTCCGTTGCCGTTGTACGACGGAAATTCCAACCTGCTGTACTTGGGGATGATTGCGGCTCCTTGGCTAACGGACTGCTGTTTGCCGGAAGACTCTGGCAGATCTGGTCAGCGGCCGCTAGTGGCTGTCCCTCCTTCCGTGTTCCTTTCCTTGTTAGAAAGGAACAACTCCATCAGATGTCGTAGCTCCCTTACCTCGTCTTTGATCTCACGTACTTCTGAACTGGTCTCCACGAGTTGGTGCTTGAGGCCCTGGATGGCAGCTGCTCCAGATCTCCCATGACGCCTTTCTCTGATACCAAGTTGTTGAGGGCCCGAGAATAGGATCTCGTCACGGGTCGGTCCACGGGGAAAACCTCCTGTTTCCCTTGTTCCTTCCTGCTCTTGATGAACCTAACTTGGCACCTTGGTGATTTGTTCAAGAGATCACCAAACTCTCCTAATTCACTTCTTTACTTGAATATTCGATATCTCATTCAATAATGGTGTCTCCTTAAATAGGAGATTACAAGAGTCCTAATCTTAGGGAGTCTCCTTGCTGAATAGGGAGACTTCCARTTCTATCTTGCCAAGGATAAGATAAGTTAATCCTAATCTGATAATCCACTAATAAGATAAGAGCAATAGAATAAGATAAGAACAAGCAAGATGATCTAATCTAATATGCTGTTGCCGAACTGGGTAGGACGAGGATCATTGAATCACTGCTGCTGCCGGCGGTGGGTCAGGTTCTTGTTGCTGCCGGCGGTGATGATACTTTTTCCCGAGGAATGCGTCCATAACATAGTTGCAATTCTTAGTTTCCATTATCAAAAACAAAGGTGATGATTCTCTAATTTTTGAGTACCAAGTAATTCCAATATTCTAGAGTCATTGTAGGCCCTTGATGCATGATTTGAAATTTCTGTCCCTTCTCCATTTCTCTAAAAAAGGGGCAGCCCAGTGTATGAGGCTCCCGCCAATGTGGGGTCTGGGCCTCTGGGGAGGGACAAATGTACACAGCCTTACCCCTTCTCCATCTCTCTATTCTCTCTAATTTTGCTAGTAGCCATTACAGCCATTAACAGCCTAAAAATTCTACAAAAAAGGGAGTTCATTCAATATCTCTAGAATTGATCTGGCTATATTATTCTTCAAATAGCTCTATACAATCCATCATTCCAAACATGTCCACAAGTTTCATTTAAAACTTCCATCCCTATGCTTGGTTTTTTAATTTCTATTTTTCTGCCACTGCATAGAAAAACTATGGTTCTCAGCAATTTGACCTGGAAGGCTGGAACCTTTCTAACCCCTCTTAACCTTTCTTTCTAGTCTTAGAATCATCCCTAAACCATTTTTAGCCCATTGTTACCCTCCTAAGAATTATCCTTATGTCATCTGGGTCCTACATTTGTTGGTGTTAAAACAGCCAATTCTAAATTGCTAGCCATCTTGAAAAGATTAGAACCACTGAAGCTTTCATTTATCATCTGATGTTCAATCCCCCTGGAAATGTTAAATATGGTCCTTTGCCAATTTTAGTTTTAGTTTTTCTTTTTTCTTTGTCTATTTTGTTTTGATTTTCTAAGCCCCCTTGTGCGATTTGGCTTTCTCCTTATGTTGTAAGTAGGGCAAACAGTGGGTTGGGTTATGTTTAAGTGGTAAACTGTTTTGACCTGACCCTATTAGGTTAAGGTCAGGTCAGCTTTAATCTTGTTTAGGGTTGGGTTTGGGTTGAGGCTGCCCCGTACCAAACCCAACTTGTTGACATGTAACATTGAAACATTTGTAAAAGTAGCTTTTGTAGTGTGTAGGTGAGCTATTTGTGGGGTGGATCGGATCAGGTTTGGCTTTCCATATTCTTTAGTCAGGTTGGGGTTGGTTTAGGTTTCTGTAGTTTTGACTTGAGTTTGGGTTGAGCCAAACCTATGCCGAATCTGACTTGTTGACATCCCTAGTTATAAGAAACTAAGACTTGGACTGTGCATAAAATCAGAATGCTGACTGGGTCACGGTTTTACAGGTTAACCAGATGGTTGGTCTGTTCAAACCATGAAACTGTCATTTAACCAGGATCTGGAAAGGTCACTGGGTCATCAGTTCAACCATCCGGTCTGTTCTGAGCCTTACAAGTTACAAAACTGATTACAATTCCTTTTTAGTTGAACAAAACCAAAATTACCAGATTTTGAGAATTATATTTGATAAACAATATTTTGATACTTGAATGAGTATGAGATGGGGGAACTCTATTTGAGAGCATCCCTCCCAGAATGGTTGTGAGTCTGTCTTGTCTTTATAAGAGGCTTTTGTGTTTACCATTTACTGATTATTAATAAAGCTTGTTTGATCTCATTAGTGATAAAGTAGTTCAACCAAGTATCTGGAATTTCAGAATTTTTTTATTTGTCCTAAATGGAATAAAGGGTGCGTAAGCAAGCTGATTTCTTGGGTATCTGTAATCTCTGAATTCAAACACCTGAATGTGCCTCAGTTGCTGAGGTCCCAATCCCCTTGGAGTCTGTAATCTGAGTTGATCCTTGGCCAGTCCTACTCTGGCTAGGAGTCTGTTGTATCTTCTTTTCTATTATTAATAAATTTACTTTACCTTTCAAAAAAAAAAAAAGACATTTCACTGGGAAACATATTAGCATGTAATGTTTCTTACACTTATTTTATGGCTTGAAACTTAATCAAGTGGAGTGGTTTGGGAATATTTCATTTTTTTACTAAAGTTGGCAAAACTTGCATAAACTGTCCTAAATGGATGATGATGTGTAGACCTGTTCATGGGCCGGGTTTTGGGCGCAACTTTACACTATTTTGGGCTAGAGCTTCAGGTTGGGCCCATTAGAATTCTGGCAAAAGCCAAGCCTGAGCCCGGCCCATGAACAGGTTTAGTGATGTTTGTGTTGGACTTGCATTGGAGTCTGACACTTGGATTCTTGAGGACACTTCTACGTAACATTTCCTTTTTATCTCTTAGTTTATTTGACATAAATAAACGGGTAATGTAAAGGATAAGTGATATTGTTCACATCAAATATTACTTGATAATAAAGATTACATTTTAAACCCCTTTTTGGAGGTTTATTATGTTTTTTAGCCAACCCAGGTCCACCTTAATTACTTTTTGTCACCTAAGTTACACCATTCAAGTTACATCACCTCTCATCACTCCCCAAAGGAAATTCCCTCTATCCACCCCTGTTTTCCAATGAATCTGTTGTCTTTCTGTTTTTTTTTTTGTAAGAACAACATGATTACTTTATTGGGGGACTAGTCCCCAATACAAATGATTTCTTGTTGCCCCTTGCTTTGCCAATGAATCTGCCAATGCATGAATCCATGTTGTCTCATCTTGTTGAGTCAAACTCTTGGATATGCATCGGATTCCAACTCTCATGCCTGTTTCCCTGCAACATTGGGCAAACCTCTAATCATTATTCAAAAAGTACATGTTTTAAAGGGCCAACCAAAACACTCCTGTGGATTTTTATCATTACAAATAAGGGTTCCTTCCTCCCTCTCTCTCTCTGTTAGAGATATCCCTGGTTTATCAAAAATGGAGTTTGTCCATTCCCTAGTAACAATGGAATTTGTCTCCTTTCATTGTTTTTTTATTTTTTATTTTATTTTTATGAGCTCTCATTGTTATTTTTATAGTGAAATGTTGCATGTCTGGTGTCAAATAAATTGCAGAAAAGTTGCAGATAGGCCAAGGGATCCTGCTAAGTGGAGTGAGATTGCTGATATTGTAGCAGCATTATCTATACCGGTTATAGCAAATGGTGATGTCTTCAATTACAAAGATTTTCAGCATATTAGAGATGCAACAGGTGGAAACATACTTATTCTCAAATCTGATCTTAATTTGCTTTTGAATCAAAAGATTTGATTGACTGATTTAATTTGTGGAGGGAGCCACAATTTGTGATCCCTTGTATTGTTTTCTTTCTTTATTATGCAATTTGATGCACTAGAAATAAAATGACTATAAAACTGTTATGTGGTTGTGCATTGGTCACCCCTTCCCCCAAATTACAAAGAAGAAATAACCACATCCTGAGATGCCTACCGTTGGACTTTAAAGCATATATACAAATATGTGCATGTATGTGTCAGGTGAGGCACCAGGACCTTTAGATGTGTGAGGTGTAAGCCTTGAGGCATGAGGCTTAAAGCGTAATGAATTACCCATCTTTTAAGGAAGAAAAACATCAAACTGAAGCATAGAAATATGCACAACAGTATAATTTTTATATAGGAATACCATATAAATTAATAAATGATCATATTAACAAGGAATAAAAGAGAAAGTCGTAGCATTCTTAAACAGCATATTAAAAAAGTTCTAAATGTTAAAATAATGCCTCAAAATGGTTTTCTATGTTTCAAAGAATATATTCAGGCACAAGGCAAGCATATCCATGAATATACATGTTACGTACACACAGGGGGTCTCAAGGCACAAGGAATATGCCTTTTCTGACATGAACCTTGAGGTTGAGCTTTGAGACTTAACCTTTGAGCCTTGCCTCAAGGTGAGCCTGAAGGCAAGTTTTGTAAATCTTTAAAAACACTCACCATGAGTATACGGGATGTTTCTACACGTGACTCTGACTCCGAGGTCCCTGAGTATACAAGATTTATGTATAAAAAAGGCCATTACCCAATTGTTGGTCCCAGATGGGTCTTGGGACGGGTACCTTTTTTTTTGTGTAAAGTGGCTGACCTCAGGCTTGGACCTGTGTTCTCGTGCATGTCAGCTTGAGATTTTACCATTAGATCAAGTAATGGCCTTTACGATTATGTATTTATGTATGAGGAACTAAATCTATATCAAAGTATGCTCTATTAAGACAAACTACATTTATGGCATAATAAATACGTATACATCAAAGAAACAGCGGGTTCTCTCCCTCTGCTGCCCCTCATGCACAGAACCATAGGCATTGATTCCAAATCTTTGCAACATGTGGAAAATGCTGAAAGAAAATGCAAGTCTGGAGACCTTTCCCCTGCACCACTTTAGATCATTTTTGGGCTTCTACTCTAATCTCACTATCTATTTGGTTTGTATACCAAATTTTACTACTTTAACTTGTCATATGAACCATTATGTTGACTGCAAAATCTGAGGTTCACAAAGTTTATTATAGTAACACCACACAACTTTAAACTACTTTAATATGCACAACTTTCTGTCGCATGCATCTATCATCCTTGTTAGTAATTTAAAATTTGTTCATTGATCATGGTTCTCCTGACAGGTGCCACATCTGTGATGGTAGCTAGAGGAGCCCTGTGGAATGCTTCTATTTTCTCTCCAAGTGGGAAATTATACTGGGAGGATGTAAAAAGGGAATATCTAAGAAAGGTGCTTTTCTGATGCCCCTCAAAACATTTTCTCTGTTTTATGGTATATGTGATGAGGTCAATTGGTCAAACTTTGGTTTCACTAAGTTTAACTTTGATGGTAGTAGTGAAGGAAACCCTGACCCTTCAGGTGTTGGAGGAGTTTTCCGGAATGGGGAAGGTGAAACTATTGCCTTGTTTTCAGGTCCAGTTGGTGTGGGGGACTCACTTTGAGTTGAGATTTTAACTGTTTTAGAGGGTGCAAAAGGGCTAGGGAACTGAACATTAGCAGGTTGGTCATTGAAGGAATTCAAAATTGGTAATAGGTTGGCTAGAGGAGGATGACAGTTTGTGGAGCTACATTATTGAACGAAGTAAGTTTAAGTGGCTGACTCAGGGTATGAAAGTGAGACTGCAGTGGGTTAAAAGATGTGCTAATTCTTTTGCAGACACACTTGCCAAGCAAGGGGTGGGAAGGGATCAAATGTTTTGGGCTACATATATCTTGTAATTCTGTTGTTCCTTGTGGGAAGGTTTAAAAGAGTTTACCCCTCTCCGCACCTGTATTTGTATCTTTTTTCTTAATTCTAATAAAATGGTTATATTATTGATAAAAAATGGTCAAACTTTGATGGGATGCGATAACCCCTGTATATTGAAACATAGCCCTTAATGATGAAGCTAGATTGAATTGAATTTTAGTTCTTTTTGATATATTCTACTGTTGGAATGGTTTCTGGCTTCTTTGGGAAGAGATTAGATGTTTTAGATGTTCTGGATTGGATTAGATTAACTAAACAGTTTGTGTATTTTGACTTCCAGAGCATCTTGTGGGACAATGATGTCAAAAGCACAAAACAAACTCTGAAGGAAATGATAATGCACCATTCCTGCCTTGAACTCCCAGAGGGAAAGGCTATCAATAAGTCAGAGACCTTAGCAGATTTGGCGTAAGTTATTTCTTTGATTAACATTGCAAGTGTTAGAATCTGGTACAGGTGTAAGGTGTTGGGCTTAGAAAGTCCAAAAAAAGGATTGGTGAACTTGGTTACTATACTTTAGCTTTAACTTGCATATTTTTAATGTAATGGACTAATTGTTGAAAAAGAAAAAAAAAATAAACATAGATGCATGTATAAGTGCAAAGTGCAAAAAATTTGAAGTGTCCATGTAGGTTGTTACATGGATGGCTTCCATATTATGTCAGGTGCTAGAATTCTTTCTTGTTCCTTCTGATCTCATATGTGAAATTGTGTATTACTTGTTCACAATGCTATAGCAATTTATTTATGTTTTATTTCATCTCTCTCTCTCTCTCTATTTTTTGTGACGTGTTCATATCTCTTCTTTTATGTTCTTTTTTTCCCTTATATTGTGTATATCCCAATACCATATAATATGTTGTTTTATGTTCACATCTATTCTATTTTAAAATAAATGCCTAATTTTTGTTCTCAGTAATTTTCTTCTTCTTATCTATGCAGTTTTAATTATATAATGAGATTGTATTCATTATTTGGGAAATGTAATCTATAAGGAATCTATAAAGAATGCCAATGGTCTTAGATCCACTAATTTGATCATACACCATGTTTATGTCCTTACACTCACTAAACTTTTATTTGAAGTGAAAGAAGAAAATAGAGTTTAGAAAACAAAGGAAGAAAAAGTTGTCAATATCTTTAAATTTGAAGAAATGCTTTGCCTAGAATATGATCAAATGAGTGGTTTTCTAAGTAATGGTCCAAATTGCTTGGTTATTTGTAGCTATAGATTAGTTTGCAAATTTTTCTAGTTTAAAAGAATGGAACTCAAATGTAAATTTATAGATGAAAGGAATGGGTCTTTTACATCTCACATATGATATCTGTAAAGATGACTGAAAGTGCAATGGATATTTTGGATTGTATTCATGTATTTGCACCCTCGGGTAAAAATTATATTTCACATTATGATGCATGTTAATAGAAGCATTTTTTATGATAAATATATTAGTAGAAGCTTTTCACATGTTCGTTTATTTTCTCAGGGCATATTATGGGGAAGAAAAATACTTTCGGTTTGTTAATGAAAACAGGTTACAAGTGAAAGGAATTGAATAAATTTATCATACGCTTCCATTGAGGATCATTACCCCCATTCCAAGTTCAAAGCTTTTTGAGGTACCTGACACAGTTTTGACAGTTAACCTTGTTCTTCATGTTTTATCATGTCTCCTGGAAATCCTAAAACTCAGGGAATAGGATAAACTAATACAAGGATGGTGATTCCATAAAATATTGGTCAGATAGCATTCATTATTTTATTCTATTTCATTATCCCATCCCCTTAATGGATGTATGCTGATGAAGCTGCAAGTATAATGTAACTATCGACTTTTGTTCCATATTGTAAGTTTGTAACTATTATTGAATAATTTTGGTAGAGATTATCATCATCACTTGGTTTTTCAATGTCTCTCCCCCAAAAAAGAGTTCAAGGATTTTAATATTTTATCTTTTGAAAAGCTGATATTGTTATAGTCCCAATCATCGATCTTTTGTTGCCAGAGTAAAAGGTAACGGTCTTTCACCAGAGGAACATACTTCTTACTAGTCAAACGCTTGGGAATTTGAATGTTAGGCGTTTCCTTCATGATTAACCCCCCTCCCCTCGGGTCTTCCCCAGAAAAGCGGGTTGATCAATATTATCTGCAAAATGTTTCGTATTAAATACTTTGCTTGGAGTAGAACTCTGCTTTTGAGGGAGCTAAAATTGAACCTGAACAGTGTAAAAGGCCTGAAATAAGCTGGTAGACAGGAGCCAAAATGTTGACAAGCTGGAAGTTTACTAGTGCTTTCTAGATTGTTAGGTTCACTGGTCAAGACTAGTGGTGTAATCATTGTTCTCATCTGGCAAGGAATGATTTGGAAAGTTTTAGTTTGGGTGCCAAATGGAAGATAAACCTAATTTGCAAGATGGTCAGTGAATCTGAGGCCGAGCTTCCTTTAGTAATGAGAAAAAGAAAAAAAATCTCTCGTCTTTAGTTCTTTACTAGTTATTTTCTGGTTGTGTTTATTTCTAGTTACCTTTTATTTTGAAAATCCTGTTCTCCAACGGGGTTACATCTTTATGTTAAATGCTTTGTCCTATGTATTTACTTAAATGTGTGAGTGATTGGTGGATTGGCATATGGTAGATTGGTAGGTGTCAACCCACGAGACTTACCTATAGATTGTTTCCCTCCATAGAGACCGTCTATGCTGAAAATCAGCTTTATCACGTATACATGTTGATGATCTTTGGAGTTGTATTTGGATCTTTTACGAGTACAATTTTGCAGTTCAAATGCTGGTCCAAATGAAAACAGTAAATGCGCTGTTGAGGTCAGCTGAGCATGCTCATCTTTTGGCATCCATTCTCTCTGTGATGGGACCTCTTCCCTATCCTCTCTGTGTGACGCACATGCCAATAATTTTGTGGAGCCAATGCCTATTGTCTCAATCTTCCGGTTTAGCTCAGGCATCGTCCGACCAGAATCAGCAATCCATGGTCCTGAATATCAAATCGACTAGACACTTTGTAACTGTCCAGTTGGGTGGTGGTGAATTATTGAGGTAGGGCTAGTTTAAAGATGGTTCGAGGGAGATGAAAGATAGCTTGTTTGTTGCCACATCAAACGAGCTTCTGTTGCAGTGTTGTGTCACCATTAAGACAGTCAACCGACTTCATCTAAAACCGTTGGATTTACTGGTGAAGCTTTTTCCATTGAGGATTGATAGGATGTATCTGGGCTACTTTATACTTTATGCTGTAATAGTTATTTCCCTGTGAACCATTGTATGATTCTATTCTGTAACAGTTTTCGTTCTTTAATGGGCTTACAATCTTAAATTTAAAGCCCAATATATTCCATAGATGGAGATCAATAATTGTAAGGTTAAATTATAGATTAGTACCATGTACTTTGGGGATAGTCTCATTTTAGTACCTGAACTTTAAAACGTGCCACTGTAGTACTAGTACCTGAATTCTGAAAAGTTGCCAGTTTTGTCTAAAATAGTTAAGACTGTTTGATTGCAATGCAAATAAATTTGCACTGATGTGAAGCTGGGCAGTGCAAATGATTCGAGTGTAAATTCTGACCTATTTTTATTTTAAATTATAGCTTATTTGTTTTATTGCATTGCATATGAAGTAAATTAAGACATGAAGCAGAATAAAGTAAAAGTCAAATCAAAATTAAACGAGAATTTACATTTTTTTCATTTGCACTCCCATGCATTTGTACTAATGCAAACAAAATTGCACTGCAACCAAATATAGCCCAAGCGATGTTAAATGGCATGTAAAAGGACATAAATACCCTTTAAATTTTGAATAGATTAAAGAAGCATAATTTTGAAATGGCCAAAACGGCCATGTTTAAATTCCTTTTCACTATGATTGAGCACCTTGGCTACCCTTGGCACCTTTCGAGTTTTCAGTGGGAAACTGGAGTTGGAGAATTTATTAGATGGGTTGTCAATAGAAGAAGGCAAACATGTGAATTCCCATCTAACAAACACACTCATAAAGCAGAGAGAGAGAGTTGAATACGTTGGGTTAGTCCATTGTGACTGTGAGGACAAGAACTTGCCACCTGTTCCATATTCAGAATACTGAAATCTATCAAAGCCATCGAATAGGTTCCCCGTAGATCATAGTTAAGCATAGAAAGAAGGTTGGTTATATATATATCGTGGGCGTGGGTTTTGGCTGTTTTCATTAGAACGACATAATAATGGATAAATCAGATTCTTGGATCTTGAGTTGTGACCCGTTGTATGAAGCCTCAATGTTGGTAACGGTTGACTCAAATGGGCCCAAAGCCACATAACGTAAAGCTTTACTTGTCCCCCAGGGGCAGGAAAGACGATGGCAATGGAGAAATGCTTAGTTGGTCGGTCACTTGTGCGGGTACTACAGGGGAAGGCATCCCGACAGTTTAGACTTGTGTTGTGACCATAATGTGTTGTCATTGGGGGGTGGTTGCGTACGTGTTGTTGGTACTTGGAAGTAAACAAACTGACTGATTGCTACAAATCGGTTTCCAATTGTTGTTATGTGATTGGGGGAGCCCCCCTAGCAAATATCGTTTCACAAAACTTAATTAACATACCTTAATACAGCTACATCCTACAGATGGTCAGATGATGCTTGTGGCTCAAACTCTTGACCTTTCGGCAACAGGATCCAATGCTGAACATTCAGATGATGTTGATCATTTTCGACGAGTTTGAGAGCAGAACACAGATGGGTTGAATATTATGGGTTACCCTAAGTAAAGAGGTGTGTGAGAGATACAAATACATACACACACTGCACGCAAGGACTTGGTGCTTAATTTAAGAGGAACTAAGGGGATCCCAAAACTAAAAGTGTCCTTAATTTAAGAAAAATCATCCATCACCAAAAGCTAAAGAGAGTCACTCTCACTCCCCCTCCCCCAGGTCCCAGGCTCCAGTTAAGTTTGGATCTCCTGATCTCCTGATCTCCTTACCCTTATTTTATTTTATCTCTCGTTGTGTGCAGCCTCAGTTTTCAATCTCTGATCGCCCACAAGGCACAAGGCACCCCCCCTTCCCTCCCTCTTAAGTCTCAAGTGTCTCCTATCCCAAAGCATGCACACATGCACAGACACCCACTCTTTAAGCTTGTACAAAAGTTGGTACACTTTACTTTTTTTTCTCCCTCCTTTTCTTAACAAAGTTTTTCTAACGTGGCCTCGAATCAAATCCCACAAGAGAATGTGTATAGAACTATACAAACAGATGGATATAAAGATGGAGGGGAGGGGTGGTGCACCCGGTCCCCCCTCTCCTCTCCTCTCATCTCTCAATAGTAACCCTTCCATATCAAACACGTCTCCATCTAATGCACTATTCATCGATGTGGCGGTAAACCAGAAATTGAGGAACCCACCATCATATCTCATAACAATAAGATGCATGTTGATGCAACTGGTGATAATGGTGATACATAGTTTGAGCTATTCATCATCGTTAAAACAGTAAAATGTTCGATCATGACACTCCAAATTATAGATTGGGTAATTTGATTTTGATTGGACAATTGAGTGTGCTGGGTGGTTGGGAGGGAAGGAGGGATCAACGTCCCACTGTCACCATCCGTTGCATTTGCCCACACACTGTAAGAGCATGAGATGGAGACAATCAACCTATGGAGTAATGAACAAGCAAGAAGAATCCCAACCTCGTTTCGAACCAACCTCACGGCTCACGCCTGTGTGAGAGAGAGAAGATATATACATATACACACCAGGAGTTTGAAGATTCCACGATGCTAGGCTGCTAGCAAAAGGAAAGCATTACTCTTTCTGGGAATGAAACATTGTTCAATCATTCACGTCACGTTTTCTTCCTTCCCTCCCCCATATATAGATATAAGCTAGGAGGATAAGGGGGATGCTGATTGCTGTAAAGGAAATCTTTGGAGCAGATGAAAAAAAAAAAAGATAAATTTCAAATGAAAACTATTAATTTTCATCATTCCAATTCCTTTCTCTTCTATTTTATTTGGAGTGAATGTTGTCACTTAATTTTCACTCATCCACCAACCCCCTTCCCCAAATAAAATAAAGCTAAACAATAAACCATTTGAACTAAAATTATATAAATATAAAAAAAAAGAAAAAGAAAATAGAAACATAACTCCGGCACATGCATTTACACAGCAAGATTACATACACGTACTTCCCACTTCTCTTCTCTCTTTCTCTCTCCCCTCTTCATTTCTTTGTATCTTTTTAATCAAAAAGATTAAAAACCGGGGGACAGGAGACAAGCAACGCCGCACCCCTCCTCAATCAATTCCTTGTGGGGTTTACTTTTTTTCGTTTTCCTTCCCTGTTTTTATCCCTCTGGAGAAAGCGCCCAACCGTCTTCTACTGCTTGTCTCTATTATACGCCCGGGGCCGCTCTCGCCCTCTCTCTTCTTGTTTTTTTTTTTCTCTTTCTTTCTCCTTTTCCTCATTCAAATCAACATTTTTTCTTTTAAAAAAATTTAGAATCTTGCGTTCTCGAAGCCGTGCAAATCGCTCACTCTGTTCAACGATTTCCTCATAATGGCTACTTTAGCCAGACGCTCGGCTGCTCGCCAAGCCGACGTCGGCGTGAGCGGCTCACCATTCTCGTCCGCGTAAACGGGTTCCCTCTCGGCACCCCTACCACCATTCCGCCTTTGGATCTGCTGCTGACTCTGATATTGATGCTGCAATCGCCAGTGCAGCTCCGCTAGCTCCGCTTCCACGCTGCGCACATATTCCTCACCCTCACTCGATTGCATCAACAACGCGCGAGCTGAAGACAGCATGTTGTACGCGCTTGATAACTCGTTCCGCTCCACCAGGCGACGCGCCTCTATCGACGCGCGAGTACTCACGTAGAAGCTCCTCAGCCGCTCGATCTTCGAGGCCGATGATCGGATGGCTTGCGGCCTCGGCACGAGAAGCGCCTGTTCCTTCCCATTGATCACTTCTTGCGTAGCCGGATCCTTGTAAGAGCACTGGACTGACATTATATGGTGGGCCCCCATAGTTGACGTTGGAACCTTCAGCTCTACCAGTAATTCCCTCTCCTCCTCGGCGTAGAGATCGCCAACCCGAATCGAACCGGATCGGAACACCGTTGGCCGTCCGCTGCAGTTGTACACGGCGGTTATCTCGGCGGGAGCCGAGCCAGAACAGAAGCCCAGCTGGATTCGTAGATCTTGCACGACAACGCTCAGTAACCCGCCAACGCACTTGGCGAAGGCGTCCTCCGCCGGCTCGTTGCTATGCCCGCCTTTTTCTCCGAAGCCGAACGCGTGAACTGGGATCTCCAGGTGGGCGAACCGCGTCGAAGACACGTTCGAAGTCGTACACCGTCGATTGGATGAATTGTTGGAGACCCGCTCGTCTTGGCCGTCCGATAGAAGCATGATGCTAGCCACGGGGTTCCTTTCCCGTCGGTCTTCCAGAACCTTAGTGGCCTTTCTGAGGGCTTCGCCGACGCTGGTGCCTTGACCACAGACAAGCCGATCGACGATGCGCCGCGCCGAGCGCTGGCCGTTAGCCGTCATTCTCCTCAGTGGCAACAATCTCTTGGTGCTAGCCGAAAAGGCAACGATGGAGAGGCGATCGGAGGAGCCGAGCGACGAGATTACCAAGCGCATGGCGCGTTTCAGCATGTGTAGCTTTGCGCCGGTCATGCTCCCGCTGACGTCGAGCACCGTGACCAGATCGATGGGCGCTCGGCGGCCAGGATCTAGCAGCGGCGCCGTCGTACAGCTATTGCGCGCCGAGGATGGAGGAGCCTTCAGCTTCAGCGCGATCACGTAAGTCTCGTGGCTTCGGTCGACCGAAACAACTGCGGCCTCTGGTAGCATTCTAACCTCGACGTTCCTCAAGTTTGTGGTGTTGATTGCTGCTCCATCTGTTTCTTTGAACGAGGACGAACGGGTCGAATTCACGAAGAATCCTTGGAATTCTTCGATCTCATCTTCCGCTTCATCTTCTTCTTCGCCGTTCTCGTCAGCCTCTGGTATCGGAACGAACCGAGCGCCGGCCGTCGGAGAGAGCAGCGGTTCGTCATCGTCATAAACCCGTAGATCAGACGATTTAGATGGCTGATCGTACTTGATCTTGACGTTCCGAGGAGAGGAGGATTCTCGTCTCTTCTCTTGATGCTGCTGCTTCACTGCACTGTGACATTTGTCCTGTTCATTTACTGCTTCTTCGGATTGGAATTGGTGTTGATTCTTGTGGGCGGCGAGTAAAGGTACTTCTCTCCAGCTGGCACGACAGACTGGGCACACGAGGCTGCCGTGCTTTCTAACGTGCGCAGCTATGCACGGGAAGTGAAAGGCGTGAGAACACTCTGCCGTGAAAATGGCGGTTCCTTGCCCCGTTTTCACGCTCTGCAAACAGATTCCGCAACTACTCTGAAAAAGGAGAAACAGAGAAAAAGACGATAAAGTCAAAAATTCTTTCATCATTTCGACTTTGCACGAACGAACACTAACCAACTATCACTGTGTACGACGACGATGAGAAAAAGAAAGAAAAGAGGGATGGCAATAGCATAAGAAAGGAAGGAAAAACAAGCTACAATTTCAAACCGTACTCGGTACTAGTTCTTACCCTGGAGAACCGCAAACTGGACTTGAGGAGGGAAAATGTCGAAGGCGATCTGGGAGACGATGGGTTGGAGCCCTGAAATAGTCGGGGGCTTTTTGTTGTCACCGTAGTCTTGCATTGGAGCTTGGGACTGTTGTCGTGCGAAGATGGTGGTAACAGAGTAGACGCTGCGGTCGTTCGGCACCGCAAGCTGGGGCTCGAAACTGGTTCTGCTTGCAAGCGCGGGGTGGAGGGATTGGACTTCAAGCGCGGCGTTGAGGGATTGCTACCGCCGGACAGAAAAAGGGCTAACTTTGTACAGCTTCTGGGACTGGGGCTGGGGCTGGTGGTGCGGGCTTGTTGCTGCTTGTCTGCAACTGTGTTTTCTGTGTCTCGAGGGATGGAAGTACAGAAGGCTCTCCGCCAACCAGTACCCATTTTGAGAGGTACAGGCCAAAGAAAGAAACAACAACCGGAGAGGAGATGGTGCTATTCTTCTTCCTCTGTAATGTTTGTGTATGCCGCCCTCTGTTTTTGGGGATTTGTAATTCTAAAGAAGAACAGTTTTGTTGTATTGACACTGCAGTTGCAGAAGGCAAAAGGGTAGGATTGGGTAGAGCCAGAGGAACATAGATGGATAGAGAATGGAGACAAGAAGGGGATGATTGGAAAGATTGCAGCCTTGCAGGGAGACGTTTATCTTCTTCTTCTTGCTTGCTTGCTTGCTTCTGCTGTTTTGCGCGGTGTTTTTTATTCTTTCTTTGCTAATGCTACCTAAAGGGATCACTGCACCAGAAGCTCTCCCCGTTCTACCAAAAATATTTAAAAGATGGCAATACTCAATTTCTTTCTTTCTCTCTCTCTCTCTGTATATATATATATATATATATCACACACACTCTCCCTTGAAATCTGGTACAAATGCTGCCGCTACCACCACTCTCTCCGTAAGATATAGGGGAGAGGCTTTTCATGGATGAATATTTATATTGGTTGAAAAGGTAACCTCGAATTTACACTCTGGTAACCGACGGGTGTCAATTTGCCTCCTGCCTCAACAGGTCAACGCTCTGTTCTCCGTCGTTAAACAAACTAAATTGGGATCTCTCTCTAAATAGAGTTAATAGACTAAACTCCAGTTGGGTCGTGTTCCGTAAGTAACATCCTCTCTCTATTTCTCTATCTATATCGGAGTCCGTGTGGATAGATTCGGATCTAAGGGCTTGATGCAGTGAAGGTGAGTGACACCTACAGAGTTTAATATCCTCGGGATACTCTCTGTTATCTTCACTCGGCGCGTGTGGCGTACGTCCTTATCTCTTAATGACCATATGGCATCATTTATTATTTTATTGCGATGACGATAAATGGAGATCTCCGGTAGTCCCGTCGGTTACCGGTTTTCCTTTCTTATGTAGGCAACGCGATACGCATGCAATGAAAAATAATAAGGGTTAGAAGAGGAGGTTACGCGGAGGCTTGGTTGGAGTTGGTTTGTGGTAACTAATAAGTGGTAAAATTGGTAAGAAGGTCGGATCGGATCTGGTGTTTGAGTTTTGACTTAGAGTACGGTACGGGAGAGGGGGCACACTTACAGATTTAACAGGGTGCGTACAAACACAGTCACCTTCTATTATAAGTTCTAGGGTCTTTATCTACCCAAATGGAAATATAATGGTCCATCCAGTGAACTCTGAACGCGGCTTTCTCCCTTTACCCCACAAGCACAACAATGAAGGAGAAAACAGATTGCGCACACACTCCTTCCATGCACACAGCTTCTCTATTTTTCCGTTGATTTTTCTTTTTTCTTTTTAATATTTAATATTTTGGGTTTAGTTCCACTTTAGTCCCTATATTTTAAAATGTAATAATTTAGTATCCAAATTTTTAAAACGTATTAATGCAGTATTTATCATTAATCAGTCGTTAAGTGGTATTTGAAAAAGATACAAATAGTCCTTTGAGTGTCATTTAATTTTTTTTGTCAACCATTTAAACGTTGACAAAAAATTAACAATCTCAAATCTTTGCTTTTTCTATTAAAAAAAGTTGGGATCATATCTCTCAGTGGGCATTTTGAACCTCAACTTTATTGAATAAAAGAGATAAGGATTTAGGATTGTTAATTTTTTGTCAATGTTTATATGGTTGATAAAGAAAATTAGATGACACTCAAAGAACATTTGTGTATTTTTCAAATGCTATTTAACAGCTGTTTAACGGTAGGTATGAGATTGACACATTTTAAAAGTTCGAGTACTGTATTGTCGCATTTTAAAGTTTGGGGACAAAAGTGTCACTAAGCCCAAAGTACAGTGTGCTAATAGGAAATTTTCCCTTAAATGAAAATTGTTTCTTTTTTTATTAATAAAAATTGCTCTTTAACATGAATTTTTCTTTTTTATTCTTGAATCTGATTTTAAAAACATGTTTTCATCTGATTATTCAACATCATGTTAAAATTTAATAATATTTTTATTTTTCACTGATATGGCAATTCCAAAAATAAATGAAAACAAAAACATTCATGGATGGTTTAAACAAAAAAAAAAAATTAAGATAACATGTAACATGTTTTATTGATATTGATGTTTTGGTTACAAGTATGAGAGAGAGGTCAAAGTGTTGATAACATCACAACAAACAAACGATTCTTTCTTCTTTGGATCTCAATCGATCGCTAGCAGCTTGATCTAATTTGGTGATGTAACCATCCATCACCCATGGAGAGAGATTGAGATACTTCTTACTCCAATATCGGACTAGCAACAAAATGGGGCATGCATTAGTCAACATCAGGATCAAATGGCCAAAGCCCAAAGGTGGAATGTGGATGATGAATTCATGCATGATCCATCATGGTCCCCATGTCCATTTCATGTAATTGTACATGGAATGGAGGTTTTTTGGCTTCAAGACTATGACCACTCCACTTAACAAACCAGCTTAAATATGACCAACCACTTTAATACTATTTGCTATTTAAAGAGAAAGCTGATGAGGGGTGATTTGGCTGACCCAGTAAGCAATCGACACGTGGATACAACCTGATGATTGGATGTATAATTCAGTATCTTTGGCTACCTTGGCAGGTCGGACCACCTCGGGTATCTCAGTCATCTCGGATAGTACTGAAGCCCGGGTATCTCGGATGACCAAGCCTGTCGAGACGATACATAACAGATCTCTAGAAGCTTCTTAGCTGCCTCTGAGCCATTCGGGATCACACTACGCAACCGTAGGCCTTATCCTCACCCTGCCCGAATCGGATGGGCACGATAAAACTTATTACCTAGCACGTTATCCACTTTCTAGAGAGGAACGAACTCGTATGGCCAGGGCCGAAGATCTCAAGAGTGTTTCATGAGACCCATGGCAACTCAACTATATAAAGACATTAACCCCTGAGACCCAGGTACACGCGATATAGTGCATTCTAGCTCTCAAGTTCACTTACTTTCAGCTCGCTACTTACATCCAATATTGACTTAAGCATCGGAACGACCTCGTCGGATTAGCCACTTTGAATTCTCTGATCCATTTGTCTTGCAATTCGATTGGTCTACTTCATAACCGACGTCCAAGCTACCTTCCGACTATAAACACCCAGATCGCGCACCATCAAAAACAATTTGTTTTTTTTTATCATGTCTTTCCCTCGTAATAGATGTAATATTAGAAAAAGTATACTGAAATGCATGAATTGAAATATTGAAGAGATGTAATCTCATCAAGAGCAGAAAAGTCCCTTTCTTTTCCTTTTTTCGTTTTCAAGATTTATCTCCACTTGGGTACTATATTATAGAGACAGGAGAATAGAGAGAATATAATCCCCTCAGGCCTGAGCTCCATGACTTGCAATTTTCAGTTCATGTGTGTCTCTGTGGATGGATAGGTAATTAAATGCCTCGCGCATTTAATTTGTTTCAAAGTAATGGAATTGTTTTTATAGGGAACAGTGGCAAGTTGAAATTGCTTTTTCTGAGAGCATTAACAGAGGTTAACAAATTAAAACTACATAATAATCCGGGTCTATTAAAATTATACTGCTATAACCTAAAATTTCCTCTACTTGATTTACTTCAATTCAAGAGAAGGGATTCAAATTAAATAAATATAATTATGCCCACTCTTGTCTTGTCTCTTGTGGTAACTCTGCACAAACTCGGTGGTCGTTTATTGATTTACTGTTGTTGCAAACTGGAAACTTGCTGTTACAATCTGGATTCTGCTATGATTCATTGACCCATTACATAAATTTTCTTTATTGAGAGCCTAGAACAGTACTCTCATCATCTGTCCATGTCAATATAAACGATACTTCCGTCGTGACAATCGACCGAGGTAATCAGTAATCTCTTTCGTCCTATGCTCATTTGCAGTGCGACGTCTCTCTTCACCCACTTATTCTGTATCTGCGGTGCCATTAACTCTGCCATCCCTTCTCCACCACCGACCACCCGCTTCATACGGGGACCAGACACCTCTAAACTCATCTACGTACTCACTCTTTCTCAGTCTTTTCCCTCTTCCCTTAGTTTTGCCGACGCTTCATACCGTTGTCCCGGTGGTTCAAGTTTCCAACAAATCAACATATGAGCGAGCACCAGTCACTCACCGGTTTCCAACCGTCACGTGCTCTCTCCTGGTCCAACGCCGTTAGGCTCTGCTGACGCTATACCTCATAGGGAACTGCAAAACGTGTGGGACGGCGTCAACTCCTCTGTTAATAATAAAAAATATATTGAATTCCATTTACTGTTTTAACTTTTAACCTCTCTAAACTCTAATATTTAATCTAATCTAACTGGAATTCAATTCCTTCTTTTTGCTTTATATTTTTTTTTGAAAAATTTAGGTGCCTCGGGATCCTACCGTAGCTCATGTTAGTCGTGACGAAAAAGATTTTTCACAAGGGGAAGGAACTGTGTTACTGTTAGCTCATAGAAATTAGAGTCTTTGATTTTGTCTTTTTAACCTTAAAATATTCATGCTGGCGTTTCTTTATTTTGATTTTTCCTTCTCCCGGTAGAGATGTCAGATATGTTTTCCGTTTGGATGTAAGAGCTTCATACCGGATGTGGCCCCAACCGGGTCTCTCTCTTAGCCACGTGGCTAGGTTTCTGTCTCCACGTTGTTGTTATCATTATCAGTTGGTCGACTATGCACGCCAGACTGCCAGAGCCGTTTGTCGTGATCCGGTGGTGGGGCATCTCAACCTTGTGAGAGTCCAGCAGTTTTCCCATAACGTGGCATGGCAACAAGCCATGTGGCTAGCCCATGTCATCTACATGCGCACTGCCTTGTTTCCACGTGTCCAGCAGATGATTGATTGGTCAATTGTCGGTTGACTGACGCAGATATACTACTAAATACTAATAGATGAGAAATTATAGTTGGGGAAAAAGGCCAAAATAGAAACAAAAGAGGTTTTTATTTCTCGAGAAGCTTCGCTCATCCGGCCCGGCGGCCCCTATTCTCGTTTATAGATTTATAATTTTTATACCCTTATTTTTTATGTGATGGAGATGATGATAATGATAATGATCGAATTTGATATTTAGAATCTCCATCCTCGACTCATCATCGACTGGGACGGATCGATCAATCATGGAGTGGGTTTCAAGTTCCATTCTATGATATGCCTCTGTTAGATAATTAGTGGGGCCCCCGCAATGACGTCATGTGACGATTACTTCTTTAATTGACTGGGTCTGGGTCCCGCTAACCGAAGCTCGCCCATTTAAGCACTTATCGTCTTGTGTCTTAAAAAAATGCCAAGAAAAATGTTTGCAGGATGGTGGCACAAATTAATGTTGTGATTAGGATTAATATTAAAAAAGAAAAACAAAATAATAATGGATCCGGTTTTAATTTTAAGCTAGTTGTTATCCTATAATAATGTTGGGACTTGAAATAGAGACATCACACATGACACATGCAGCAGTCGCTTTTGGCTGCACT